GAGGCATCCAATCCTGTGGTCCAGGAGGCAACTGTGCAGCGCTTGGAAAAGCTTGCTTCGGCCTGCCCGGCCTCGCACCTAGAGCTACGGCAGCTCTCGAGTCCCTGGTTCGGATAGGTCCTGGCCCACCGACACCGGCGCCGACGGCTGGGTTGCCACCTAATCCACCGCTTGAACTGGAGCCTTTCTGACCCTCGTCGTCGGGATTCTCGACGGCGCGGCCCTTTCGAAAGTACGGTTTACTTGCAGCCAATCTTCGCAGGAGTTCTCTAGCCTTTTCGTCCGTTTTTTCGTATTCTTCGACTCCCGCGCGACCTTCTTCAATGGCGAGTTCGTTATTTTGGGCAAAATATTCGCGGTTGATGTCGGACGATGGCCCCGGGGCTACCATCTTCAAGGCTGCATCGCGAACCACGATGGGCAGCCCAAAAGAAAGGTCCAGCATGCATGCCTGGCAACAGTTTTTGAGCCGCGCGCAGGTCAGGCAGATGTTTGTTCGCTTCTTTCGGCCGTGGGCTCGGTCAGCACTCCAGCTGAAGACAGTGAAAGGTCTCGTACACTACGACGGAGTGTTAGCAGAATGCTGAACGTTGAAAATAGAGTGGCGGGGAAGGTAGCAATACCAATTTGCACTCGGAGCCATAATCTTCTTTCAACATTTTGACGTAAGGATTCTCTGGTAGACAGTTTTCGCAAACAGAAGGGAAATCAGTCGATTCCCAGCCTGAGCGATTCAGGTCTTGTTTTATTTGTGGTGGCATGGCGCCTCGGGGTTCGCAGAGCTCTGCGACGAGTGCGGATCGTGATGTGAGGTGGCCGATGATACGGATCGTGAGATTTTTCAGTGTGGCGAGCGAAGAATCCTGATGTCGCTCGCGAAACTACGTAGGAATGAACGTCGAGCGCGGGCCCGACCGCGCAGGGTTCACTCATTACCGTGCCTACCTACCCACTCCCCGCCACATTTCCTCACTCTAGTCTCCAGGTACCGATACGGAGTGCGTATCCAAAAGTGTGGCGTCGAGCTGCTATCAGTGCTTCACGTCCCGCCTCTTCACGTGATATCCGCCACATTTGCAAACTCGCTGGGCCAGTCACCGAACATCTTATCTATTCCTCGTGCACGTAAGGCTCATTCAGTACCTTAAGATACTTCAGTTATAGAGTTTTGACTGGACAACCTGGATTCAAGGCATCACGAGTACAAATAGTGTGTGCTGTGTATATTTGAATTACCAGAGACCGAGAAAGTTCCCGATCGATGATGCCCTCCTGGTCTGGTTGTGAAACCAGGGTAGACGGTCGTCTCCAAAACTCCGAAGATGCTCTTGAGCCGTAGAACGCATCGACAAGTACCTGAATCGACTGTCGACAAGACTGATTGATGGTACCTACCTGGATATCCGCGTATCTCTAGAACCAGATAGGTGGCGGATACTCAAGCCCAACCACATCAGGGAATAATCTGGAAGGTGCCTCAGAGGCTAAGACGTATGTGCAAAGTATGGCAGTCTATCAGATCGTGCTAGGTAGAAGAACCATAAGCTAAAAATCACTACCAACTGTTCGAATTCGTATTCGGATTGGGTAGCCCCTGGCCGGTATGCATATGTTTCCCGTCTAGCCGTCGTCTCACCGCCTGCTCAACAAAGCAAGTACTCGAGCCCTTTGCGCCCCGCGATTGGACAATTGCCAGAGATGGACCCCTGGGGCCAGGTCTCTGTCAATTTGAACTCTGAAGATCCCTGCGACCACTAGGTAAATGGACATTGGACAACAGTCCGGCCTCGCGTTTTTCATCTCATTTTATTGCACCAGACTTTGCCTGGTGGCAGGTACTACCGTGCTACGGCCTGTCATTAGCTGTTGTAACGCCCAGGAACAGTGGACTGGGAGGCTGAGAGGGACTAAGAGGGGGGGATGTTGGAAATTTGACACAGCCAAAACGAGACAATCTCGACCGTTGCCGCGTCCCTTCGACTCCTTTTTCCGCTTGATACTTTGTCACTACTGAAAAAAGCCTACGCCCCCGCTCTCCCGAATACCAACCCGATTGCCCGTCCTACCTTACCGATCTTGTTGTCCTGCGCTTTCAATTTATTCCTTCTCCTTCCTTCCCTCCTTCACCCTTCAGACCAAATACTTTGCAGCCTTTCAGGTCTCCACCAAGTTTCTCTTCCTGCAAACAACTTTCCTACACGTTGTCTATTCACTACTCAACACAATGGTTACTTCAACAGCCTCTAACCTCGAGCGCGAGGACCATGCTCGCGATGCTCAATTCAATAAGGCACTGCACGGTACAAGTGCTCAGGCTACTGGTGGTCTTGCCGCCATGTTCAGCAAAGGCCGTGATGCGAAGCAGGCTGCCGTCGATGAGTACTTCAAGCACTGGGACAACAAGGCGGCAAAGGACGAAACTCCCGAGGAGCGCGCAGTATGCAACTCGACCTTTTCCCAGCCTTGAACCTATCTTTACTTGTCACGGATGCTGACCTTTGCTTGACATAGGCTCGTACAGCTGAATATGCGACCTTGACCAGACAGTACGCGGCGCCCCCCCCCCCCCTTCCTGTACAAACACTAGCTAATTCTGGTTTTATAGCTACTACAACCTGGCGACCGACCTGTACGAGTATGGTTGGGGCCAGTCCTTCCACTTCTGCCGTTTCTCCCACGGCGAGCCCTTTTATCAGGCGATTGCCCGTCATGAGCACTACCTTGCCCACCAGATCGGAATCAAGGAGGGTATGAAGGTGCTTGACGTCGGATGTGGTGTTGGCGGACCTGCGCGCGAAATCGCAAAGTTCACCGGCTGCCACGTCACCGGTCTGAACAATAACGACTACCAAATCGATAGAGCTACTCACTACGCTGCGAAGGAGGGCCTGTCGAAGCAGCTTGAGTTCGTCAAGGGAGACTTCATGGTACGTGGTTGTTATAGTGATCAGATCCATATTCAAATGATTAACGTTGATCTTGCAGCAAATGTCTTTCCCCGATAACTCATTCGATGCCGTCTACGCCATCGAGGCCACCGTCCACGCACCCAGTCTGGAGGGTATTTACAGCGAGATCTTCCGTGTTTTGAAGCCCGGTGGCGTCTTTGGTGTTTATGAGTGGTTGATGACGGACGAGTACGACAACGACAACCTGGCCCACCGTGAAATCCGCTTGGGCATCGAGCAGGGTGATGGCATTTCCAACATGTGTAAGGTCTCTGAGGGTCTGGCCGCCATGAAGACTGCCGGATTCGAGATGCTCCACCACGAGGATCTTGCTGACAGGCCCGACCCCATGCCATGGTACTGGCCCCTGTCGGGAGAGCTCAAGTACATCCAGTCCGTCTTTGACATTTTCACTATTGTTCGTATGACCAAGGTGGGACGATTCCTCATGCACAATGTAGTTGGTGGACTCGAGGCTCTCAAGATTGCCCCTGCCGGTACGAAGAAGACGGCCGACAGTCTGGCATGGGCTGGCGACTGCCTTGTTGCTGGTGGCAAAGAGCACTTGTTCACACCTATGTACTTGATGGTCGGAAAGAAGCCCGCCAACTAGGCGTCACTTTTGTACGCCTTGGATGCAGAGATGACGGCATAGACGGACACCAACGGAAAAAGATTAGAGGCTATGAATTTTTCTACTCGCTGTACGAGTGTTACACCAGTACTATAATTGTAATTAGGCAACTACAGCCAGACGGTTTTAACGACAATTCACGGTTGGCCATGATAGATAGGAAGTTAGGAAATGTGGGTGAGAGTTTTTCCAGAGGAAAATACGCTGGCCGATTAGCTGGCAAAAGTGACTGGCTACTACACAATGTCACATAGACGTGAGTCCAAGACGAGAGTTCCACATGCACATGCTTATGGCAGACTATTGTTTGTCCATGTAGCCCCCATCGCTTCTCAGCTCACCATCTATGGAAGCGGGTCAAATATTGCAGCAGGTTGCGTGCCGTAGGCAGCTATTGTGTACCAGCTGAGATTATGGATAAGGAGACTTGGGCTATCCTGCAAGGCAGTACATACGATAAATAGCAAGTTTAACGAATGATCCAGAGCCCATTACGGCAGGCCACATAAGAAAGACACTGCTCGAACCTTTTTATTCCTAACAGCCATGAACGAGGGTTGCGGATGATGGTGTCAGCTGTGCACATGATCACCATCACAGTTCTGGGTATTGCTCAAAGACTTTCTGTGGAACATGCATACCTATTGCCCAGACCACCTCATCGAGTCCCTTTTCGTTGATTCTCGCTCGGACCTAAGTGGCTCGCCGTTCGGATGGAAGCGGGTGGCACTGGGCGCATGGTGCGCAGAAAGCGTTTGCTGAGTAGGAAGCTTATAGAGATCCGTGTCCGGCCGTCCCTCGAGAGGGAGCTTAAGCCCGACGCCGACAAAGGAGTACTTAGAAAGGCCGATGCAAACACTCCCGTTAGCTGGGCTAGCCAGGAGTAATGCCAAGAGTATCCGTATTAACGCAGAAAATTTATGGAAGGGAGTCCTTAGGAAGCCAGCGGAGCTTATCGGGATTAAATCGGACCTGGGTTTGGGCGCAATTTGGATGGGGACTAATCGTTGAAATACAGCGTGATTGGCTCAGAAAAGTTACCCCCGATTATCTAATGCTCAAGAGCACCGCTAATACTGAATAGGGCTAGCTCCCCGCCCGGGACCTCCCCAACGCTGTTGTCTGGCAGCTCGCCGCAATTCAACGGACTCAACGCCCATAGAGCTGAGCAAAAAAAAAAAAGGCTGCGAAATCCCTCGAGAGCTCCCCGTCGACTTTCTCATCCCTCTCACTTCGACGTCCAATTCTCGTCGTTGGCCATCGTCAACCCCACCACCCCGAGGTCACGTCTTGTCCATCCACGACATTTTTCTCCTCGCCTCCTCATTATCCAGATTCTCTTGGGATAACTAGCTTCTTTCGCGTTGCGACCTGTGCGTCTTTTCTACCATCCAATCCTCCCAAGACCAATATTCGCGATGTCCCGATTCCTCCGTCCCGCAGCACGCCTGGCGTCCTCTGCCAGAGCTGCCTCCCTCCGCACCTCCCCCATCTCTCAATTCGTTAGCCGGCCTGCTGCTTTCACCATCCAGTCACGGACATATGCCGACGCAAAGGGAACCAAGGACTACACTGTCCGAGAGGCCCTCAACGAGGCCCTCGCCGAGGAGCTTGAGGCCAATGACAAGGTCTTCGTTCTGGGTGAGGAGGTCGCTCAGTACAACGGCGCATATAAGGTCACAAAGGGTCTTCTGGACCGGTTCGGCGATAAGCGTGTCATTGATACACCCATCACCGAGAGCGGTTTCTGTGGTCTCGCCGTTGGCGCTGCCCTCAGCGGACTGCACCCTGTGGTAAGTTGCTTCCCCGGCAAGTCGATAAGGTCCATGGACTTTGAATTTGGCTATTCAAATATCCGAGCAACAACTCTCTAGCTCGAACTTATGGAATCAAGGTTTCGGTGGCCTGTGACTGACTCTTGTGTTTCCTCCAGTGCGAGTTCATGACCTTCAACTTCGCCATGCAAGCCATCGATCAGATCGTCAACTCCGCCGCTAAGACCCTCTACATGTCCGGTGGCATCCAGCCCTGTAACATCACTTTCCGCGGCCCCAATGGCTTCGCCTCTGGTGTTGCTGCGCAGCACTCTCAGGACTACTCAGCCTGGTACGGCAGCATTCCTGGTCTGAAGGTCGTCTCCCCTTGGAGTGCCGAGGACGCCAAGGGTCTGCTCAAGGCGGCCATCCGCGATCCCAACCCCGTCGTCGTTCTCGAGAACGAGCTCATGTACGGCCAGACTTTCCCCATGTCGGAGGCTGCCCAGAAGGATGACTTCGTTATTCCCTTCGGCAAGGCCAAGATCGAGCGCTCCGGCAAGGACTTGACCATTGTCACGCTCTCCCGATGCGTCGGCCAGGCTCTGGTTGCTGCTGAGAACTTGAAGAAGAACTACGGCGTCGATGTCGAGGTTATCAACCTGCGTTCCGTCAAGCCCTTGGACGTCGAGACCATTGTTCAGTCTGTCAAGAAGACCCACCGCCTGCTTTCCGTTGAGTCTGGATTCCCTGCCTACGGTGTCGGCTCAGAAATCCTGGCTGTGACGATGGAGTACGCCTTTGACTACCTTGATGCGCCCGCCCAGAGGGTCACTGGTGCCGACGTCCCTACCCCTTACGCGGCCGGCCTGGAAGAGATGGCTTTCCCTACTGAGCAGATCATTGAGAACTACGTCGCCAAGATGCTGCGTCTGTAAGAGAGTTGCGTGTTGTGGACGAGAGAGTACAGGCCTGGGCAAGCTGCCTCTTTGTGGCTTCCGAGGTGGAAGCTGATCTATAATGGCCCTTGGAGCTCGATAGACTTGGGGAAGAAGCTTGTACTTGTATGTTGCTTAGTTGTCATATATACGTCTCATACCCTGGGATTACAACTGTATGCGATGATCCATGCGCTATGGCATAAAGTAGTGAGCCCTTCGCCATTACGGAGTTCAACGTTGTCATGGCTGGGGCAGCCGATTTATGTCAGAGTGACGAAACAAAACATCCCTGGGCAAAATAGGTTCAGAGCCCAGGGACTGGGGAAATGAGGACACCATCTATGTGCGCCATCTATGGCCTGAAGCCATTCAGTGATGAAATAATTTGTCACAAAAACCCCAGGAGCCCGATGATAACTAATATGGAAATCGTAACCGCTTTATGGCAGAGACTCCTCCATGTGCGATCTTGACTGAAAGTCATCCATCAAAGCTGCCCATCTCGAGCGAAGGTTACCCAAAAGCCTTCCCTTAGAATCATGGCTATTTTGTGATGTCCCCATTTAAGGTATGTAACCATGTGGCCTTTCACCTCAGGTGCTCAAATATCTTGCCTTACCTAAGGGAAGGAGAGGTATGAGGGGCACACAAATGGAGGTACCTGAGGTGTCAGGTTACAGTGCGGCCACCCCGCACAGCGTCATCAGTGACCACTGCAGTCTCGCCTATGGGTAAGGTACCGTACCGCCTAACTTCATCCCACATCAGGTCCCTTCTTCCTCCCATACCTACCCCAAGGTATACCAGCACTTGGCCTTTGTCAATGATAAGGTAGGCTAAGAGCCACTCTCATCGTCTCATCTCATCTGGCGTTCATCTCGGCTCATTCTTTCGACAACGTGACGCAGCCCCCGCCGCTGATCGTCGTCAAGATGGCTTCCGACCTGGCTGCGGCCATTCAAGGTCTCCATCTCGAGGACCTTCCCGACTCCAACATTGATGACATCTTATTTCAGCAACGGCCCAGCAAGCGCATCAAGCAAGATACTTCAGAGCTGAAGACGAGTCTGGAGACTGACTTTCTCATGCCATGCATGAAATTCTCACCTGAATGGCTCAATGGCCTGCAGCAGTATGCCCTTCAGACACAAACAAATTCTGCCTTCCATATTCATTAGCTGATTTCTCTTAGGCGCTGGGATTGCCCCGTGGATTATACGGAACTTTTCAAGATTGGCAATCCTCAAACTAGGACTGTGACTCGCTTTGAACGGCACGGTCTTGAGGGCAGAGTGAGTGGCTACCGAAACGTTACCGTGCCTGCCAACAGCGCTACCGCCAAGAATTCGACCTCATTTCTTCGCAAGCCCGCCAATAGGGCTGATTTCGTCCGTGGAGCTGCCGGATTTTTCCCCTTCGCACCTGGTGGTCTTGATGGAATCGAGGCAACCGCCGCACTCGAGGACCAGGTTCACCGGTCTGGAGGCGGAGAGGCTACAGCTGCATCAAATAGCAAGCTGGAGCGGGTTATTAAGCTTGGTACCGAGGGCGGGCTACTTGAGATTGCGCCTGGACTGAGTAGAGGATTCAATATCGATCAAAAGAAGCCAGATGAGGACGAAGCCAGGGCGATTGAGCAAGAGCTGGGCCAAGAACCAGAACAACCCCCAGGGACCGACGAAGCAGACGGCGAAGCGCAGACAAATGGCGATAAGCTGAATGAGATTGAGTCCGAGGACGAAGAAGATAGCGAGGATATCGACGCTATTCTGCCTGTCGAGTTCCCCGCTCTCGAACCTCATGGTGCCTTGGCCGCATCGAGTGCAAGGAAGGCCGGCCGAGAGTGGGCTCACATGGTTGATATTAACAGGGACATCACCAACTTCAGAGAATTGGTGCCCGATATGGCAAGAGATTGGCCCTTTGAGCTCGATACTTTCCAGAAGGAAGCCATTTATCATCTCGAGAGCGGTGATTCTGTCTTCGTCGCCGCACACACATCAGCCGGTAAAACCGTTGTTGCCGAATACGCCATTGCCCTCGCAACGAAGCACATGACCAAGGCTATATATACGTCCCCAATCAAGGCCCTGAGCAACCAGAAGTTCCGAGATTTCCGTCAAACATTCGACGAGGTCGGCATCCTGACGGGTGACGTTCAAATCAACCCGGAGGCCAGTTGCCTGATTATGACAACGGAGATTCTAAGAAGCATGCTCTACCGTGGAGCCGATCTCATCCGAGACGTCGAGTTCGTCATTTTTGACGAGGTACACTACGTCAACGATTTTGAGCGCGGCGTCGTTTGGGAAGAAGTCATCATCATGCTTCCCGAACATGTAACACTCATCCTTCTCTCGGCAACGGTTCCCAATACCTATGAGTTTGCCTCCTGGGTTGGACGCACTAAGCAAAAGGATATCTACGTCATCTCAACACCCAAGCGACCTATCCCATTGGAACACTACTTGTGGGCTGGCAAGAACATCCACAAAATCGTTGACTCCGACAAGAAATTCATCGAGAAGGGTTGGAAGGAGGCCAATTCGGCGATTCAGGGCAAAGAGAGGACCAAGGCCCCCGAGCCCGTTAACGCGCCCCGCGGCGGTGGTGGTCAGAGAGGTGGCCAGAGAGGAGGATCCCAGCGCGGCGGGCAGCGAGGGGGTCAGCGTGGCGGCGGTCCTCAGCAAAGAGGCCGTGGTGGAGCGCCGCGCGCTAATCACAACCCGAGTCACATGGGACGAACAGGTCGTCAGGGTGGGTTTACCTCTGCAGCCCAAGACAAGAACCTCTGGGTTCATCTGGTTCAGTTCCTCAAGAAGTCGAACCTTCTGCCTTCTTGCATATTTGTCTTCTCAAAGAAGCGGTGCGAGGAAAATGCCGATGCACTCAGTAACCAGGACTTCTGCACAGCGACTGAGAAGAGTGCCATTCACATGACTATCGAGAAGTCCGTTGCCAGACTTAAGCCCGAGGATCGGGCTCTGCCACAGATTATCAGACTCCGTGAGCTTCTGTCCCGAGGTATTGCGGTTCATCATGGAGGGCTGTTGCCAATCGTCAAAGAGATTGTCGAGATACTCTTTGCCCAAACACTTGTCAAGGTACTTTTCGCCACGGAGACTTTCGCCATGGGACTCAATCTACCGACTAGAACAGTCGTTTTCTCCGGATACCGTAAACACGACGGCCATTCCTTCAGAAATCTGCTTCCTGGCGAATATACACAGATGGCTGGCCGAGCAGGTCGCCGTGGCTTGGACACAGTCGGCTCGGTTATCGTCGTTCCGCCGGGCGGGGACGAAGCTCCTCCCGTTGCCGACCTTCAGAAAATGATTCTAGGAGAGCCGTCGAAGCTCAGATCCCAGTTTCGTCTCACTTACAACATGATACTTAACCTACTCCGAGTCGAGGCTCTCAAGATTGAAGAGATGATCAAGCGTAGCTTCTCGGAACATGCTACCCAGCAGCTGCTACCTGAGCATGAGAAAGCAGTTAAGATTTCGGAGGCCGACTTAGCCAAGATCAAACGAGACTCATGTAGCGTATGCGACGTGTCTATGGACGAGTGCCACCAAGCGTCAGAGGACTACAAGCAACTCACCGGGGAAGTTTACAAGTCTCTCATGGGTATTCCCATCGGTCGCAAGATGTTCAGCCAGGCCCGCTTGATCGTTTACAACAGGGACGGTATTCGCACACCCGGCATCTTGCTGTCGGACGGCGCGAGTGACAAGGGGCAAGGTGGGCCTACTTTACATGTTTGCGAGATCAGGCTCATGAGGGAGACCCGTGATTCGACAGACCTTCTGCCGTTCATCCCGGCCTTCCGCAAGTACTTGACACCGCTACCGCAGGCGAAGAAGCACATGCGGATTAAGACCCTGCAGGTCCCTCTGAGTGATGTTGAATGTTTGACGAGGTACGTCACCAAGGGCATTGTGCCAGAAATTTTCCAAGGCGGGGAGAAGTACGCAAAGGCAAAGGACAGACTCCATGCGCTGTGCCGGTCGTGGGATGATCTTTGGGACGAGATGGACCTCTCCAAGATAAAGAACCTCTCATTTCAAGAGGTGATGAAGAAGAGAAAGGATGCAGAAAGCGTTGCCTCATCCTCGCCTGCTCTTTCTTGTCCTCAATTCTTGAAGCATGTAAGTTGAGTTATGGCCGACTTGAGAAGAAATTCAATCGCTGACATTGATTATAGTTTGCCATGTGCCATGATCAGTGGCTTATCAAGGAACACATCTCTCAGCTCCGGCAATCCCTCTCAGACCAGAACCTACAACTTCTGCCAGACTACGAACAGCGCATCCAAGTGCTTAAACAGCTCCAATTCATTGACGAAAGCGCCAGGATACTGCTGAAGGGAAAGGTTGCCTGCGAAATTCACTCGGGCGATGAACTCGTTTTGACAGAGTTGATCTTGGACAATGTGCTCGCCGACTATGAACCAGCCGAAATCGCTGCCTTGCTTTCGGCGTTTGTTTTCCAGGAAAAGACGGACACACAACCAAATCTTACGGGCAACCTCGAGCGTGGCAAAGATACCATCATTGCTATCAGCGAGAAGGTCAACGAAGTCCAGACGCTGCACCAAGTTATACAGTCTGCAGATGATTCGAATGACTTTATTTCTCGGCCTCGCTTCGGTCTGATGGAAGTTGTTTACGAATGGGCGCGAGGCATGAGCTTCAAGAACATTACTGATCTGACCGATGTCCTGGAAGGAACTATTGTGCGGACTATCACGCGTCTGGACGAGACATGTCGTGAGGTCAAGAACGCCGCTCGCATCATTGGAGACCCGGAATTATACCAGAAGATGCAGACAGCTCAAGAGATGATCAAGCGCGATATCACGGCAGTTGCCAGTCTGTATATGTAGACCTTGTTTTGCATGTGAGCAGCAAGCACACGCTTGGTTTTTCGCTCGAGGTTGATGGGAGCTGGTCCAGTTTAGTTTAGTTTAGTTTAGGAATTAAACAAAGTGGTCA